GTTAGATGATTTACTTTGAAGATTATGATTATTCCTTTTTTGTCTCTTTTGTTTAGGCTTTCCAAAATCCTTGCATGACAAAAAATACAAAATTACTTAAATATGATATTATATATTTACATGCTTTTAAATATTGTAATGATATCAATAAAAAAAAAAAGAAGAAAAACTCACCTTCTTCCCATTGTTTTTGGCACTTTAACCCAACACTAACCACACATGGTATGTCCCCCACCATTTGATAATCAGTTACCATTTTTGGTCACAAAAAACCCATTTTCTTGTAGTGACAACAGTAAACAAAATTCCTACCCACACCTATAAATTACTAAATATGATAACTTTTTTAAAAATTATGCCTACCACTTTCAGATTTTGTATTAATTTGGGAAAAAATATATATTATAATACATAACCAACTATTTTAAAAAGAGATAGAGATTTAATCTGTGGCTAACATACTATAAATCACAAATAAAAATTGTGCCTCCAGTAATGGATAAAAAATCTTATTAAAAATTGTGATTCAAGTTTATGATAAGGTGTAACAACAGACAAAAAGTAGAGGGATCTTGAAATGGATTACAAGGATTAAGTACTTATTGTACTCAAACTAATAATATTATTATTATTTACAAAAAATAATAAGAATAAAATAAATGATTTTACCTTGACATTATGAAAATAACAAATAAAAAAATCTTTAATGATATGTTATTATTTAAAATTGTATAATTCTCTTAATCGATCATGAAAAAATAAAGTAAGAATTTGAATTTTTTATAATTTTTTAATATTTAAATCGGTATAAAAATATTATTATTTTAATTGTCAAGAAAAACTATTTTAGAAGTATTCTATATGCTACTTCAATCTTTTTAGGATTTGTTTATTTATTTATTTTACATTAATTTTAATTAAGTTTTCCTAAAAGTCGCAAATAGGTCCCAACACAGGTTTGGTGCCGACACCACATGGTTTGGTGTCGACACTATTTATTAAGAATTCTAACCTAAATTCCTATTATGCAAATCAGCTCCAAGTTAGGGCAGCCACCTGTCATTTTTTTTACACATCAGCAATTTACTGGGCCCCCTAGATAGAATCTATTTGCCAAATCAGCATAGACATCTAATTAATCCTTGAATAGTAAAATTAAAAAAGTAATATCCTTGTTTAGAAATTTTTTAAAGGTAATAACCTTGATTAGTTTAATAAAAAAATGATATCTTTAATTAGAAAATTTTTTAAAAGTAATGTCTTTATATGTGTAAAATCTCAACAAATTCGTTAGTATATTTTATATATATTTAAAATAAAAACAAAAATAAAACGTCATTAGACCTAAAATTATAAATTACTAGACCTAAAATTTAGAAGTGAAACTGTGAAAGGCAGTAAG